GAGAGAGAGAGAGAGAGAGAGAGAGAGCGAGAGAGAGAAAGAAAGGGAGAAAGATAGAGAGAGAGAGAGAAAGAGAGAAAGTGTGGTATGTGTGTGTGTGTGTTTCTGTGTGAACATTTCTGACCTGACAATATCAAAATACTTCCCGGCTAACACACTTTTAGTCTTCAAATTTGTTTCTTTTGCTCAGCACGATTTTTTATTGCTCATAATCTTTGCATTCGTTCCCAGTTCCTTTTCCTTTCAAGTGTCTGTCCTGTTAGAGTAAGAGCGCCTTGGGCAAGAAACTCAGAATCGGTCCCGTGTTGTCGAGTAGGTGTATTCTGTGTAAGAATGTTACCGTACGGTACTAGATCTATTCAATGTCAGATTGTCTCGTCAACTCAATAAATAAAAGTCTAATTAAACTGAGTAATTTAAGATGAGACAACTATATAAGGCAATGACCTGTATAAATGACCACTTCCAATATCCTCCTTAACGTATTTTTCTTACATAATGATAACACTGTGCGTGATGGCTACCTATTTAAAATCGCCGCTTTTCTTCTTGACAGTGGAACGTTTTAGAGGGTTTCGACAGTATCTGATGAGAAACAAAGTGCCACCTACTTCCTTCTTCTACTGGCTTCTTCCTCTCTTGTCATACTCTCATAATATAGACACCATCGTGCCACATGACAATCGCCCAAGACAAAATTCTGGGTTTCTAGATTAAGCGTTATTTGAATTAATACATTATCTAACAATAACATATAGTCGAAATTGTCTATGATGGCCATTTATTGCTGAAGACAAAAAATTGGCCGTTTTAAACATATAGTTATCTTACACACCGTCGTTGTGATAGAGAAAATAGGTTAGGGAGGAAATGGAAAGTGGCCGTATGAACAGATGAATGTCTTATACAGGTCGGCCGTTAAAACAGGTTCTATTGTACTTTCACTCTGTTTCCTTATTTCCTTCCCGATTCTTAATTTAAAAATGTGTTGCATTGTGGTAAAATCAGGCACCGTCAAAATTTTTTTTTTAATGAATAAATAAATAGACATTTAATCTTCCAGTCAGTTTGGCAATTTGTATCCACTTATTTGTTTTGGGCTCAACATATTTTATGTCCACATGGATTTTACTGAAACATGTAGATCAGAGGCACAAAAATGTATATGTCTGCTTTTTCCAAGGACACTGCAACTTTGGAAATCCCTAATCCGTGGAGACCATTCTCTCTCGCTAATTTTTCTTCACTTCCTTCAATCACAAATCACAAATATTTGGACATCTATTCAAGATAGAAGGGTATTTTTTTCAGTAAAAGCAAGGAATATGATGAACAGGCTTTAAGTTTATACTAGTAACTCAATATTATGCTCAAACATTGACGAGCACCTGATTCCACCACATCGGAACAGAAATAACAAGTGCCCAAGTCATGATTCTGATTTTACTCGCTCCCCGTTTCTTTTATTTTCTCAAAACTTTAAAAAAAACATCCCTAGACGATTATAGCATTCAGCTGCCCATATCCTCCTGTGTGCGTATGGGTCAAAACTTACTTACCTCTCGAACCCCGTTTTGAGAATGAAATCATTCAGTGTGAAAGAGTGACGATTTAGAACGGTTCTGCTTCGTTTTCATCCCTCGTGTTTGTTTGGGTTTTTTTTTCCTCCAGTTTAATCTGTGCTCATACTTCTTGGAATGCTATAACTAATCCCGGACAGCTTTCTCTCGCTCTGTTTCTGTCTCTGTCGATGGCTCTTTCTCTGTCTCTGTCTCTCTCTTTGTCTCTGTCTCTCTCTGTCTCGGTCTCTGTCTGTCTGTTTCCCTCTCCCTTGCTCTCTCTCTTTCTTTCTCTCTCCCTCTCTTTCTCTCTCCCTCTCTTTCTCTCTTTCTCTCTCCCTTTCCCTTTGTTCTTCACCCTATTTTCTCTCTCTCTCTCTTCCCCCCTCTCTTCCTCTCTCTCTCTCTCTCTCTG